CCCTGTCTCTACTAAAAATACAAAAATTAGCCGGGCATGGTAGTGGGTGTCTGTAATCCCAGCTACTCGGGAGGCTGAGGCAGGAGAATCCCTTGAACCCAGGAGGCAGGGGTTGCAGTGAGCCAAGATCGTGCCACTGCACTCCAGCCTGGATGACAAGAGCGAAACTCCATCAAGAAAGAAAGAAAAGGAGGGAGGGAGGGAGGGAAGAAAAGAAGGGAAAGGAAGGAAGAAAGGAAGGAAGGAAGGAAGGAAGTCCAAGGAGGAAGGAGATAGGAAAAGGCCCAGACCCATGTAAAGCCCTGGGACCAAGGGACTACATGCTCTCCCACTCCTCAGGCTGAAGAGAGTCAGGGACCACTGACTGGGGAGCCCATACTGACCACTGGTGCCAGGTCACTGGGCATACCCTTCCAGGTGATAAGGTCACAGCTACTTCTTCTCTGATAAAGTGTGTAAGTACCCCCACTGGACTCCCAGACATATGTTTTATTGTGCTTGGGAAAAGACACCCCCCAGCCCTTGAGAAGGGCCCCAGAGAACTTACCTTCAAAGGTCCGATTGACATGGGTGGGTCCAAAAGGTGTCTTGAAGAGGGCGCCTCGGGGGATGATGGCCACAGCCTTGTCAATCTGGTCAATGACAGACACCAAGCGGGTCTCTTCCTTGATTTGGACCTGAGGAGACAGGAGAGGAGCCCCCCCTGCCAGGGCACTGTGCCCATCCACCCCTGGCACAAGGTCTCTCTGCATGGCCATCTCACCTGCACCACCACAGTGTAGTGGACACCAGAGCCACGCAGATCACTCTGGGCAAGCCCTCACCTTCCTTCCTATCAAGATTTTCTTCCTCTCTTTTCATTTACTTTTTAATTCGTAATACATACGGGTGGTATGATATTCAAAACTACAAAAAAAAAAACAGTCTTTCTCTCACCCCCGTCTCTGAGCCCCTAGTTGCCCTCACTGGGGACAACCATCATTGAAGGTTTCTCGTGTACTCTTCCAGAGGCATACCATCCTATCAGCATATTTAAATGTTGCTTATTTTGCCTTCTTAAAATATAAAAGTAATCATGCTTACTGTAGAATATTTGAACAATACAGAAAGACACACCAAAGAGAATTAAAACCACTCATAACCCTACCTCCTAAAGATAATCACTGATAACATATTGGTATACTTTCTTTGTGTTTTGTTGTTGTTGTTGTTGTTTTGTCTTTGTTTTTGTTTTGAGACAGGGTCTCACTCTGTCACCTAGGCTGGAGTGCAGTGGCGCAATCATGGCTCACTGCAGCCTCAACTTCCCAGGCTCAGATGATCCTCCCACCTCAGCCTCCCGAGTAGCTGGGAGTACAAGCACATGTCACCACACCTGGCGAATTTCTGTTTTTTATTATTATTTATTTATTTATTTATTTTTGAGACCGAGTCTTGCTCTGTCACCCAGGATGGAGTGCAGTGCAGTGATCTCAGTTCACTGCAATCTCTACCTCCTGGGTTCAAGTGATTCTCCTGCCTCAGCCTCCTGAGTAGCTGGGACTACAGGAGTGCACCACCGCACCCA